ACTCGTCTGCCAAGTCAAGGGTTGGCCACCTCTCTGTTTACGCCACTCTGAGTTGGGCATGGAAAACAGCACTCCTTTCGGCAAACGATCGTTCGGCATGCGTAACAAATGTCCCCACCAACGCAGCTTCTGGCGCTGGACACATTCTTCAATGGGAGTACCCGTCGCACAACCGAAAACGCGCTTTCTAACTACCTCGTTACGGATTCGCCTACACCCACCCACACGATCTATGGTTCTGAGACCACGATTGTCGAACACCTGAAGACGTCTCAGTTCCGATGCTCGAATAGACCAAGTCTCACATCCACGGGGATCCTTTACACTGCCTCTCGACTACTCAGCAATGAGTGACTTCATCCGCAGGAAACGATCCCCATCAAAGATCACGAAATCTCCTCCCCCACTGCCAACGAAGACCTGTTTTGCTGACCTGATTTTGTGGGCCACACTTCCCACCCGAAGAGTTTGACCGAATCTTACCGAAATAACCGTTTTAAAGGCAAACTAAAACTTGTCTGAACCGTGTTCCCAGTCTCCTGGTTGGGTGTACTACGTGGGGAGCAAATCCGTCCTTGAACTTTTATGCTGCCCTGGCGAGTTTTGCGTCAACAACCACTTGTTCACAAGAGCTCAGTAACACGTGTTCCGAGAGGAAGTAATCGGACAAAATGCTGATTTCAAGTGTTCCGACTTCCTCGTGTGTGACGTCTGGATCTGTCGTAACACGAGTGTCTTCAATGGAGTGAATCCAAACCCAGGCACGGCCATGTCAATCCCCCACTTAGTCATCTCTTTCGCATTGGCAAATTAGAACAATTGCCGTGTGGGAGCCAGATAACACCTCGAACAAGAGAAAGTAGTTTGATTTAACAAGACCACGGTGCGCGTGATCTGAATACCGTGATTTTCTGCAACTGTCATCACAGTTTGCTCAGATATTCTCGCTAAATTTACGACCGAACAACATACACTGTACACATGTACTCGTTGCAATTGCCTGGCCCATATTTCAAACCGTGTGCAAACGAGTGGCATTCACGACTTGTTGAAAAACCGCCTTGGTCTTTTTTTAAAAAAGAAAAACTCCAACCTTGTGTGTCCAAAACGCGTTTCGTGTGGCTTGACAGATGCATCCATGTTGTTAGTCAGGAAAGAGGTCAAACATTTGTTTAAAGATGTATGTTTGACTTATAGTTGCCGCCTTGGGGTTGTTTGTTTCCAGTCATTTTATTGATTTTATCCCAAGTATGTCCTGAACTAGGTTGTCAAAGGATTATGAAGCAATGAATCTAACTTGGCATGGTAGTGTTGTTGATCTAACGTCAACACTTTCTCTTCTCCGTGGTGTGATGTGGAGAGTTCAATAGAGACCTCGTTTTGTAAGTCTTAATCGCACCACTGCTTGTGGCCAGAAGGCGACTAGCCGGGACGTCGCGGATTCCTGATACCCGTGAGACGCGCATGTTTGATGATGCCCAATAAATAGGCGAAATGTTCCGTGATTTGAGATTTATGAGACTGTATGAAATCTGTAATTGGATGCTGACATTTCAGGGTATCTCCGATCAACAAGTTTGCTAATATATGAAGCTTACAACACCATGTTTTACAAGATGTACAAAAATTTCAGTTTCTACACCGGATTTAAGACAAGCTCCTAAGATAACGTGAAGTTTTCTCATGGAGTACTTAAACCGCACCTTCGCAACTATTCTACGCAGATGTGCCTATTGGTTACAGCAGCTCTCATGATTCTCGCATCTTTATGAATGCTTCCCCTACCTGAACTTAGCATGCTGCGGGGCAAAACGGTAGAATTTTCGGACAGTGGCAGAAGACCGACTTGGTAAACAATAAAATGCAGTGTTTGATTTCCGTTGAATCGTGTGCAGCCGCATTACACTACTTACAAAACTCAGCCAGTTTTACAAATGCACTATAGGGAACTTCCTGGATTTGAGTGATGTAAGTGAAGTTTCACTTACAGAATGAAATATCCGGTAAGTGGCTCAGAGGAGGAGTGAAATTCACTCGAGGAGCCACGCGATGCGTGACCACGTGATGTGGATTCCATGATTGAAAGATAAGTGATGTCACGTCCTAAGTATGAGCTAATCGCACTGAGGATGAGTCACTCGGGGTCAAACGGTTAGGAGCTCAAACTACTGGCACGTTCCATACTCCCTGGAATCCCACGAGATGCGCACTGTTGATAATTTCGAATGGCGATGAAACAGCTGTCTCCAGGCTTTTCAGCATAGACTGGCTTCACCTACAGGACGAACTCTCCAGTCTTATATTTTAAGGCGCCAACAGTTTAGCAGTAAAGGATCGTGTGAAGAGGGTTGTTTGTAGTGTGAAGGGATTTACACATGTCTTCTTATGCATAAAGTCAATACATTTTGTAAAGCTGAGAAACAACACGGGTTTTCCATTCTTATGAAGAACCATGAGCAGAACGCACCTCGTGAAACTATAAAAGGTTTTGGAAGCACAACCTTCAGGCTGTTAGTTGAAAAATAAATGGTCCGCGCGTGGACGGTGGCCTGATCAACCACCCCCTTAAACAGGATAGTGCACGTAATATACTACTCACAATGTCGCTGAAAATTCCTCGACAGCCCACCACCGGTTTCGCTCTTCATTGGGCTCGTCAGATAGGCACAGTCACCGAGTTTCCGTCAACCTTATGTTCTACTTGAACCCGAATTGCACCATTTTCGAGAAACACACTCATTTGCAAATCAATTTGGTTTAAGTAGAACATAAGGTTGACGGAAACTCAGTGAATGCGCCTACCTGATGAACCTCAAGAAGGCCGTGGGCTGTTGAAGAGTTTTCAGCAGCCTTGTGAGTAGTTTCCTTCATGAAAGTATGCTGCGATATCTCGAATATCGTACCAACTGAAACATGAGGCGGCCTGTGTGCAGCACATATAGTTGTAGTATATCATAAACGAGAGATTCAGTTGAGTCTCTCGTGAAAAACCAAATTGATTTGCAAATGAGTGTATTTCTCGATAACTGTACAATGATTTTCAGCATTTTCAGGAAAAAATCACAATTGACCTCACCCGTTTCGTATCTTCTATCTCTGGGGGCCAAAGCCCAGATATCAAATTCCATTCACTGAGGCATTTCGAACATCAGTTGGAAGAATTGTACATCTATATAGAGTATGAATCAATTCCAAGAGACTTTTTTATCACGTGATAGGAAAAAACAATTCCAATGCTTGATTCATTCAAACAATTATATATTGATTGTCAGAAGTGATTGGAGAATGAGGTGAATCTGGTGGACGAAGCAGTGAATGATCCTGAAAACTCATTTGATGTCTCTTAAGCCGAGTAACTATTAGCCAGTAGCGCCGTTATCTGAACACGTTACTTTTTGAACACATATTTGGGTTTTGTCGTTGACTCTATAAGAGTTAGGGACCAAGGAATACGCGTAGTGCTCCGGATAACTCGGGAAGTGGCCTTAGGACTGCAATCCGCCTGTTGAGTTTTGTTCAGTGATACGCTATCGATCGGTTTCAGATTTCAGGGTGTAAGTAATGATCAGGGCAAATTTGCTTATAGGCCAATCGGTGAACAGCATTCATGCATGGCCCCTGAATCAGTCGTATCTGAACTATGTCAAGGTCAAGCGGACACCAAGGTCTCAATAACCGCAAGACAAAATGACAAAATGTGATATTCAGTAGAAATTCCTTCTAAGTTTTCCTCGCGCATGCCTGTTAAAATTCAAAGCGAGGCGGTGGATGCTGTCGAGAATCATTCTTTCATTCACGTTAGTTGTATTAGTTCTGACTGAATCGTGTCCTCATGAAACAATTTTAGTTTGCTAATCTGCGTACCTTGTGGCATCAAAAAGACATATTGCTCGTCCCCAAGGATCGCGTGTAACATGGTGAATTGGGGCAATAATGTTGTCTGATTACCTTCAGATCTCTATCCATCAATGCCCAAGAAACGTCAACTTCGGAACAAGTACTTCAACCGCCGAAAATATTCATGACCACCGACTGCGGTGGCTCGGTTGTGTGCTGTACAAGCCGAAACACCGTCTCCCTCAGAATTGCGGGAACGGCGAGGTGGACGATCTGGAGGAAGGCTGTAAAAGGAATTATGATGGGTCAAAATGTTGTCCTCACGGTCCACCTTCCAGGACCTTTCCCGTAACCCCTCCTGATGAAAATAATAAAAGAACTGGCGGTTAATCGATGTAAGTGGCAGTTTTGCTCACAGTTGCTTTCCAGACCCTAGCGCGTGCTGTATGTGGCCGTTGCTATGGTACGCACCGCATTTAAACGATATATAAAGCGGAAATTCGGATGAATTACCACCACATTCAAGTGGAGCACAAGACACGAATCACGTCAATGGAATTTTGAGTGTAATTGTGCCTCGGTGGGTTCAAGGACCATCGAAATTAATGAAACAAGGAATGAAACACCTAACTTTAGCAGTTAGGCCCTTGGTTGGAGGACTAGAGTACTCGGCTGGTGACCCTGGAGGAGACGCGGGAAGTCGAGTCATGTGACAAGATGCCGGATGACTTGCCTCCTCCAGCAGTGCTATCACCTCCGGTAAATATGACTACCTAACCAAACTATGGTATTAGCCCGTTCACAGCTCGAATTCACATCCGACCAAAAATATTGGTGGTTCACTGGTGACGCGGATTTACACAGACAGTTGCCTCTTGCAGATGTTGCATGAACTAGGATCTACTGTCGAAATCTACTCGACAAAATCCAGGGTTTGACTGTTATGACATTCAATCGTAAAAGTTGTTTGGTTGCTTTTACAGTCTGTTTAAAGATGTTCCGATTGCCTTTCACGCACCTTGAACATCTCATTTGCGGCAACTCGATGCAAGTGAACTAGAATTCGAACCCTGGTTTGCCTTCCTTGGAAGTGGGCAGTATTCTAATTCCCTCTGTCCCACGTACTGTATATGGTACCAGAGAAACTTCAGAAAAATACGGTGCCCTTAACAGTATTTCGTGCTAAACGGTTCAGGAGATCTGAATGAAGTTCGAAGTGCACTCTGTACACTTTTCAGAATACCACACCACCTGGTGTTCAAGTGGGGACCACATTGAATGGTTTTCGAACACGGCGACTAATCAGTTTCGCATGTAGCTAAATCGATGTGGGCTTGTTTTCGGATTTTGACTCACTACTGAAAAAGATGTAATTTTCGTGGCATTATCCCGATTCGCGGAACAATAGATTGCTCCTTTCGCCTAAGTTTGCTTCACAAAAACGGAAGTTTTCTTCCGCGCATCGCGTACAAACTAAGCTGGGAGACGCCGGAACGAGTATGAGTAGCTGCTGAGGAATTGATCAGCCGACCAATAAGAACCGAGGGTTTTCTCCCTTTTGATGTTGTTGTGATTTGGGAAACAGTGTGCTTACTACTGAATTCGATCATTGAAAGCCAACCGATTTGTTCTAAAAATTTTCTACAACTGAACAAATAACAAACGCACTGCTTACCTGAAGATGAGCACCTGCGTGTGTTCGGCTTACACACTTGCAGTTTAATTTGTTTTGCCGAATTCACATCTTCGGCGACTCACAACAATTTGCCGATCATCACGAGAAAAACAGGAAGTGAACGGAGTGATGGGATGGCCACCGAGGTTGTTCATTGTAGCTCTGGGTAATTTTCTTGTTTCTTTTTCCAAATCAATCAATAGAAAAAAACCACAAGTTAAGCTGACTGAACTGATTTGCTTGAGTTGTTTCTTATCTTCCTACCTCTTCCTCTCTCTCTCTCTCTCTCCGGTCTATTGATTTTTCCCCTGCTTACCTTGAGAAGAATCAGTGAGGCGGAATTAACACTAACAGAGAAACCACAAGGCCACAAGATTAATTATTGCATGTTCACTAAATCAGTTTGTTTCAGAGGTTTTCAATCTTCTCCGGAAGTTTCTGCTTTGTTTGTTTGGAAAATGGGAGTGATCGTTCACACCAGGTTTTTTCAGAAATTTTCGAATGTGTGGGCCTAAGAGGAAGGATTTGGTACTATCAACCTAGTTGTTCAAATCTGGATGTCGCGATCTGTCTCCCGCACCAGAAGACTCGTAATACTAAATCAAATTTACCCTTGGTAAGATAAACTCATTTGCAGATCACTTTGGTGTTAGGCAGAGTCTCAGTTAGAAAAAATGGCGAGATAGCTCAGTGGTTAGAGCGCGAATCTACTGATCGAAAGGTCCGTGGTTCGAACCGGACCTCTGCATCTCGACTTCCTCTGTCTAGGCTTGGACAACCTGACAGTATCTCAGCCCACGTTCTTTCTTAGGGTGACATGGTAGCTAGGCCCCGAAAGGGTGCTACAGCTGAACGATTGCAAAAAGGTGGCCTCATAGTGAAAAAAACAGCTTGGATACAGCTGTCTCCTGTTCCCACAAACTTAAAGTTTCATTTCGCCGTGCTTCGCCAACTGCGTGCATTTGGGCTTAAATGGGACAAGAGGTTGACAGAAACGACCTAAAGACAAATAGTTTTCGGCAGCCGAATAAACAGTGCCACGGAAATTCCTTTTTTATACTTGATCAGCTGATCACAGATCTTCTCTGTTGACAGTGGATGCGCACATTTTATTGCAAATTTCATGGCGCACTTTCACCATTTGCACCGAAATCTGGTGATTTTTCCAACGACACTAGTAAAAAGATGCCCGTACTCTGATGTTGACCGCATTTCGCGTCAGCCACGACACAGTACACGATCTTTCAAATGGAAAATTGCCCTCCAAGAGAATCCATCTCCCTGTCTTAGGTCTGCTCCCTTTCGCTGCTAATTTTGGATGGTTAGTGACGTAGGCGCATCCTCAACATACCCCTTCTTCATGAAAAGGTGAAGGGTTTAACGCGGCGCTCAGCTTAACCCCAGCAAATTTGAGTGAACCAGTGACACCCACGCGGATGGATAGGGTCGTTAGCGAAAGCTTGGACGGTCAAAAATCACAAAGCACTCGGTTGTTTCGTCAATTGATATCGGGGTGACGGGTACACACATGTTCATGTCACCTGACACTGATTCAACCGATGGTTTGCAAGATTACAGACAGAATAATCCTCAAAGCCGAAAATCCACAAGGAAAGAGTTCTTGATGGTCTCTTTTGAAATGGCTTCTTGCTGGAGAGTTTTACCTTAGCCTGTGGCTGGACACCGCTTTGACCTCACCATCAGGAGAGCAACCGCCTCTTGAGGGTGGTTCCTTTCGGGTGACCGTACTGATTTGAGTGTCACTTCAGACTAAAAAGGTTCTGAAAGAAGTTTGCACTTGGCGGTCATTTTTAGATATGGAAACTCCATCTGAAACGCATGTAGTAACAAATTACTTTGGAATGATATCATCATTATCGACAGCACGACATCAGTGTTCAACAATCACTGCCGTACAGCCATGACTTATTTGAAAGCCTTATTGTAAAGAAAAGGATAAAGGTGGATGGGGGAGGGACTTAGTGCTAGTTTAACACAATCATTCCGAGGTGGCTACACCTCCAGACACTCACCCGGGCGATCTGGATAGAAACTGACAACAAGATCGGCACCGACATCGGTTGGCAGCCATATCTTGCAGCGTCTCCAACCAGGCGCAGTGATATCAACATTTACAGTAAGAATCAGTCGGAGAACTCTAGGCACTCCACTGCTGAATGTTCTTGACACGTCGATCTGTCGTCGAACAACGGTAAGCTAGTCCTCTGAAGGTTAGTGCAACTTCACCAAGTGTCAAGCATCCTTAGAACGCACAGAACTTTCGATACGAAGTAAAGATCTTTATGAGGTACATTCAAAAAGCGAAATACTATGTTTACAGTCTAGAGGTAAGTCACAAAAAATGGATACTACACTTTGTGTTTGGCAATCTAAGGTATCTGCTGCTGACCCGTTCAAGTGCCTAGTGCCGGAGAAATAGACTCACAGAAGGGAACACAACAGCTATACTCCGAACAAGCGAGTGCGAGAGCGTGAGTGCGTGCGAGTACGAACGTACAACGGTCTCAAGCTATTTATTGGAGGGACACTGTCTGACCTTGACCAACGTTGACTTGCGCTGTCTGGGTTTGATACAAGGCTGTGACGCGCTGCATTTTGAGGGGGGCGTTGTCTGTCTGGTCAACATCTAGCGGAGCTGAGAGTCTCGGTAGATTTCGGGCATTCGGTTGTTGCTTTCAGGAAGCTGACCTTCCTAATAAAACCGATATTTGGTTCCCAAGATTGTCAGCGGAGTGTAAAGAAATCGTTGGAAACTTCGGAAGATCAAAGTCGATGGAGTTGGTCACCCAACTTTTTCAGAACGGCTGAAATAGTTTGCGTCATTGCAAATAAATCATGCGAAAATCAGAGTTAATGTTTTAGCAGTCCTTTCTAATTTCATCAGATCCCCAAGCATGATGTGAATGCACGCAGAGATAGGAGGGGGGACTCTCTGCGCCGCGTAATTTTTGTTGCGGATACTGCGGCCAAAGTGCATCTATTTTACCCGTGTTTTGGAGTGGAGGGACTTACGGACAGTCTGTTAGTCCTTTGTTCCAATAAGTCGACGTTTTGTGTAATAGATAATGTAATGTTTAGATTTTAACCGAAGCGCTCCATTAGAAACGTGCGAGGACAGGTGTATTTTTGAGGCATGCTTCTAACCCTACAGAACTCACAATCTGAGTCTTCATGAAACCCCATTTCCGGCTTTTTTGTTCGTCACAGAAACAATGGATGCTTGAGGGTCCATAGCATCGGTGTTCCACAATTACTTATATTGATTATGCCGCGTTGTGCAGTGGGTGAATAGACAACTTCGCCTAGTCTTTCAAGATATTCCGTTGATGAGTAGATTGTATGGATCTTTTCCAGATTGACCCCGCCAAAACTTAATCCCCGCCACCCAAAAAGGATTAGAAAAAAGAGGATGTGAAATTTATACTTTAAGTTTTCATAGAAGAGGGTAAAATTGGGACGTGTTATTAATAATTTGCATGAGAAGGTCCGTTTTTCGGTACCTTTGCCTCAAAACGAACTCACACAAGTAGCTGTCCACGAAAGATCGGTGTGTACCGCGTTGGCGTTTATTCTACATCTTGTAGAAGTGCCAAAGGGATTCGAGGGCGAGATATTAGCGTTTCATCAATCTCGACGCGTAGACCTGGGCCACCGATAACTGTTGGAGTCTGCAAAAGCCACCACGTGCGAACTTCGCGAAGAAAGTTCTTCCAATCAGCAGCGGCTATGTGGCTAATAGATAATTCCTCTGAGCAGAATTTGATTTTTGCCACATTTTTGGACCAGCAATAAATGAATAGAATTATTGTCCTAAACTCCATCCTGGACCACTCCAGCCAAGTTCCATTTCGAAGACCGATCTCTTGCCGACACTGTCGGGCATTGCATCTCCACCTGTCAGAAACAGTTGAAAGTGTCATTTGGTGGCCGTTGTTTCATAGACATTGCTGATGGATCACTCCGTGGCTTCACAAAATGCGTATTGCCGTCTCCTTGCCATGAACGAGGGTTGAAAGCGTCGGAAAGTCCATTTAAGGTTTTGCGTCCGAACGGATAGTATTTTTGCACAAAATGGGCCTAGATGCGGATAAGGGATTGTTTTTATCGAAAAGAGATGAAGGTTGTGTGCGTATATTAAACTGGAGCTGGCAAAACGTAGCGGGACTTAACTTTTCGCACAAGCACTTTTTGCATTAGTGGTGGGGCTTTTCTGGAAGAGACCGTGCTGCTTCCACGGTCTGCAATCAGCCACCGTTCCCACACAACTGGCCTGCAGTTCACTTCGTGAATTCCCCAGGACACTGGAGCTGTCTTGAGGAACACAGAGGTCCTCAGGTCCACTAATTTGACAAATCGGCTGGCTAAACTGTATTGCTGAGGATTATTGCAGGCTAAACTAAAGAAAACTGCTCCGGCTCCAGGAATTCGCTGATGGACCAAAGAATCACCCAAAAAGAATACAATAACTTTATTGCGAACATGATTTTAGGGAGCATCGCGGTATTTAAAACGCGTTTTGGCCTTGAAGAAACGCTGTCCGCTGGACGGTGAATGATTGGTTGGGATCACTCCTAGCACACGCTTAAGCACTCGAGCATAGCCAATCGTCGCTGGTCGGCTGATTGCCCCACCAAGCACCAGGTTTCCTCTAACTTTATCTTCTATTCACCATCCGAAAAAAGTATTTTGGTGACTACATCTGGAGTTTACTTCACTCTGAATTTCGCCACCCAAGTGCCTCACAAAATCTCACAGCCAACTGACAATTTCTAGAACGGAATGTATAAAGTCTACGAGCGCACAACTTTCAAGGAACATTCACGTTTAAATTTGGAAAGACAGAGTTGCTTTAGGCGCAAAGTCTCGGAATAAAAGCGACTTCGACCCAGCCCTAAAGAGCAGTGGGAGTAAAAAAAGTCCCCCGTTATAAACTTTTCCCCAGCGGGATTAGCAATCAGTCTATGGAAGCAGTTTCTCCGTTTAGAATTAGTCTCGTCAAAAGCCGAGAGAAGGCAATTCCTAAACAGTCAACATTTCGAACTGTGAGCGGATCTGAGCTCCAGACTTCGGATATGCCAGACGAGCGCCTTTGTACTAACTCTGGAACATACACTGGATGCAAACTAGTGATTCGATGAATGAATACTTCATGCGTAAATCTGTTGATTTTTATGGGTTTAGCTCTTGTAGAGCAGTTTTTGATCAGACTCAGAAGCAAAGACATACTGCAACGGTAAGGTACAGTTGTCCGGTTGTGAGAGCCGGTGACCTTGAACAAACATCTATTCCAACTCATGGAAGACCTTCGCAGCCAAACCCGACAAATGTCCTTCAAAAACAGTCTGTTTAGCGTAACCTTTAAACTTTACAGTGGAACAATCACCAGTAGACAAAGCATCCGGTAGCACAAATTCATCTGTTTGCCCGATCGATCGCTTTTCACATACGACAGACCGAAATCCCATCGACGTTTTGTTTTAAAAATGTCACCTTGCAACATAGGAACACAAAACATGTCTCAGATGTTATCTTTCTCCCCGCCCCACTTACAAATCACGTGGGATATTTATCCACTGAACAAATGTCTATCATATCGATGTTCGCCTCACATCGAACGTTCCGCTCGGTAGTTCCACTGACAGATGAAAGGAACAGTTGTCACCTCGGTTGCTTTCCATGAACCAGCCAAGCATTCGGTTATTTTCAGACCAGTTGGTTGCTTTTGTGTTTCTGTTCACTTCTTGAGGAAATACCGGCAGACGGCACATATGCCCGATAGTAGTGTAAGTG